TGACCTCTGTAAAAACTGTTGTATTGTAAAAGGAACTTCTTCATCATCCACAATAAAATTTTTGTTTTTTGCTTTTCTGAATTTTTGGGAAAAAGGATCATCAGAAAGAGTTGATTCCCTAACACATACTTTATTAGAAATAACAATTTATTCACTTGATATATCTTTTATTTAAAGCATAATTATAAATCTATCTTATTAAAATCAACTTATAAATCTTTACAACTAAATCCTATTTCTTAATCTAAACAATTTTTATTTCTATATAGATGTATCAATCAAAAACTCACAAACTCTAGATATTAAAACTAGTATTACTAGAAGGATCGATGTACTCTCTCTTCTGACCACAAAAATTAGAACTGAGAGTTTTTTAGAGATGACAAAATAATCTTTACACAAGATAATACTAACTTTAAAAACAGTAACAAAACAGAGACTCTTCTTCTAGTTCCTAGTAAGCACAAGACTTTTTTTATAGAAGTTATAAAAAATAAAAAAATTAAACTTGTTAAAAGTTTTTCTTTAAAGAAACAACTTTTAGAAGATAAAATAGCTTTATACTCTAACAAAGAAATCATGAAAATAACAAGCAATCAAACTAGATCAACTAGCTCAGTTTAACAAAATAACTCTTTAGTTAATACTTCTAATTAGAATGAACAAGTCTCACAAAAAAATAGCACAAAAAATTTAGAAAAAAAACAAAATCAAAACAATATAAATGATGCATCTAGCTCTAAGACATGTAATGAAAAACAAAATAATAAGACTTCTTTAATAACAAAAACAACATGTTCAACTTTATGTGACTTATTTCTAACAGAACTTAAAAAAGTACAACAAACAATAACAATGAAACTCTGCAAAGACTATAGTCAAGTTTATTTGTAAAAGTCAAGAGAGGTCAATTAACTTTTACTTCTTTCTCTTTAAGAAATAGTATAAAGTCAAAAAATAATAATATTCTTATCTTAGATATACAAATCTTAATAGCTTGTTGAATGAAATTATAGTCTCTCTATACGAATAGCAGCATATAACATAATTGCTACTAAGCCATATATCAATAGAGTATACGTATGTATATATTTCAAGCTAATATTTACTAGTAAAAAAAAACTCAAGAACTATACAACATAAGGAATTGAAATATTCAATACGACCTACTATAGATATATTCTAACTAATATGAGAAGGTTTTTCCTCTTATTTAAAGTTAGAAATGTATTTCTAGATAACAAAGAGGATATCTCTGATGAAATCAAAGAAATTTTTGATGATATAGGTAAAATTATTTTAATTAAGTCTCTTTTAATTGAAGGTATACTCTATTTAACAGACTAATGAATAGTTACTTTTAAGACGACTGATAATTCAAATCTTGAAGAAAGAATTCCTCACTTTGAGATTATCTTTAATAACAAAGTTACTACAGAATAGTACTCTGCTTCTAAACTTTGCTACTTCCATAACAAGGAAGAACATATTAAAAAAAAATGCCCCCAGTTCAAAGAAACTTTATTGATTTGTCAACAGCACAAAGAATTTCTTGCCAGTAAAAAGAAAAGTAAAAATACTTATATCAAATTAGATTATAAAGAAACAAACTAACAAGACCTTACCAAATCTGTTAAAGATACAGAAACTAAAACCTCTCAAATAGAAAAAACTCTAAAAAATAGCTCTTTAGCAATAGAAGATCTAAATTTAGAAAACTCTGTCTTAGAAAAAGAAAATATAGATATTCTATTAGCTGTAATTTTTGATAATAGCAACAAAGAGAATATCACAACTAACAACATGCAAGCAAAATTTACTATAGAAATTGAAGATCCTAACTTATCAAAAACTCTAATAGTACTTATTACAAGCAGCAACAATTTATACTTACAAACTAAGAATCTTGAGGAAGAATTTATTATAGTCTCTTCAAGAAAAAGAAAAAACAAAAAAGATACCTCAGAACAAAAAGAGGAAATGACTAAAGTTGCTCCTTATAGGAAAACTCATAATAGAGTACAAAACTCACAGATTTAATTCTGTACTACTCAACTTTCAATATAACTGATCAATTTAAATTTAAAGTTGCAACTCTAAATATTAAAGGGTTAAACAATCAACAAAAACAACAGAATACTCTAACTCTCTTAAAATCTTATAAATTAGATATAATCATATTACAAGAAACAAACTTGAATAACTAAAACATGCAAAACTTTCTTAAAAACTAATAGATTTTTGATTTTATTTAAACAAACAAAACAGCTATACTCGCAGGTAACAAGAATATTATATTTAAAGATACAAAAATTAACTTAGAAAACAGAGTCATCTCTACAAACTTCATATACAAAGAACTTATATTTCAAATCTCAAATATCTATACTCTCCTTAATCTCAATGATATAAAGCTCTTCTTTGAGAAGTAGATACCTCAACTCAAAGAACACTCTATTAATATAATTGTAGGAGACTTCAACACTAATTTATACTCAGAAATAGACAGAACTAGTGAAGTAGTTTTACAATGAGATATAACAAGAGTACAACTACAAGATTTTACAAAGCATTTCTTAGACTTATCTGATCTCGCAAAGTCTAGATTTTTTCATACCTTTTTTCAAAAAACTCAAGGAATTGTACTATGGTTACTCATCTAGACTATATATTTATCAATAAAAACAATACTAATTTAATCTCACAAATTGATACTAGATTTAGTAATTCTGATTATCTCTTAGTAGAGTGTATACTAAACTTTAGTACTAAAAAAAAAGAATTAGCTATCTGAAGATTTAACAAAGATTGCTTCAAAAATAAAAAACT